CGTTTCCATTAAGTATTGTGAATATATTACCGCTGCATGATCTAACTGATTGATTAGATCAGCGGGGAGACAGTATTCTAGCACAACCAGGTAGAGAGGTGCTCATTAAATCGGTGGCGCAAGCTCTACCAACGTGGATCATGGGGATTTTCAAGCTCGCATTTTCGGTGTGTGATGACCTTGCTAGGATAGTGAGGAATTTTTATTGGGGGTTCGCACAAGGTAAAAGGAAAGTACACTGGAAGAGTTGGGACAAACTTATGCAGCCTAAAGATAGGGGAGGAGTGGGCTTTCATGACTTCCGGCTTTTCAATCAAGCTTCATTGGCAAGGGAAGCATGGAGGCTAATTGTTAAACTTGAGAGTTTATGTTAAACCTGTAGGCTTATCATCCAAATGGTACGCTGGAGGATACAATTTTTGGTGGAAATGCACCATCATCATGGCAGGCCATAAGTTATGGTTTGGACCTGTTGAAGAAAGGATTAGTATGGAGAGTGAGAAACGGTAAAAACATTAGAGTTTGGAGGGACAATTGGTTACCCAGATGACCAGACCACATTCATACAAGCCTCTCACTGCAAGGAAATTGTCGTATTCATTTCGTAGAAGCTTTGTGAACTCAAATGGATCATGGAATTATGACCTACTGCACAAATTATTCGTCCCTGCAGATATCACCGAAATTCTGAAGATCTACACACCCCCGCGTCTGAAGGAGGATTGCTGGCATGGGGACTGGGTAGACATGGTAAATTCTCTGTCAAGAGTGCATATGATATGGCCTTTGATGAAGCCCATCAGGACATCACTTCGTCTTCAAGCTCGTGGTTGTCCGGTGCACGTTCATGCTGGAAATCCACATGGGCATGCGGGGTAGCCCCCGCGGTAAAGAATTTTTCATGGCGCCTTGTGAGGGATTTGTTACCAACCTGGCAAAGGAAAAACATAATTGGCCTCGAGGTGAAAAGTTTATGGCGGGTTTGTGCTCTGGAAGTTGTGTTGGGGAACACGGTAATTTCAAAAAGAATCCTACGATCACGCAAGATCTATCTAGGTGATGCATAGCAACGAGAGGGGAGAGTGTGTCCACGTATCCTCGTAGACCGAAAGAGGAAGCGCTTCAATAACGCAGTTGATGTAGTCGAACTTCTTCTAGATCCAACCGATCCAAGTACCGAACGTACGGCACCTCCGCGTTCAGCACACGTTCAACTCGATGACGTCCCTCGTGCTCCTGATCCAGTTGAGGATGAGGGTGAGTTCTGTCAGCATGACGGCGTGGCAACGGTGATGATGATGTTACCGGCGCAGGGCTTCGCCTAAGCTCTACGTTGGTATGATCGAGGTGTGTAACTATGGAGGGGGCACTGCAGACGGTTAAGAGAAACTTGTGTGTTCTAGGATGCCCCCCTGCCCCCGTATATAAAGGAGGGAGGGGGAGAACGGCCGGCCCTAGGGGGCGCGCCCAAGAGGAGGAGTCCTACTAGGACTACCTAGTCCTAGTAGGATTCCCCTTCAAGGAAGAGAGGGGGAAGGAAGGAGAGGGAGAGGGAGTCGGAAAGGGGGGCATCACCCCCTTCCCCTAGTCCAATTCGGACCCAAGGGGGGGCGGCCAGCCTTCCTGCGGCCCTCCTCTCTCTCCACTAAGGCCCATGGTGGCCCATTAGTTCCCCCGGGAGGTTCCGGTAACCCCTCCGGCACTCCGGTTTTACCCGAAATTTCCCGGAACACTTCCGGTGTCCGAATAACATGGTCCAATATATCAATCTTTATGTCTTGGCCATTTCGAGACTCCTCGTCACATCTGTGATCTCATCCGGGACTTCGAACAAACTTCGGTCGTCAAAAACACATAACTCATAATACATATCGTCATCGAACGTTAAGCATGCGGACCCTACGGGTTCGAGAACTATGTAGACATGACCGAGACACATGTCCGATCAATAAACAATAACGGAACCTGGAAGCTCATATTGGCTCCTACATATTCTACGAAGATCTTTATCGGTCAAACCGCATAACAACATGCGTTGTTCCCTTTGTCATCAGTATGTTACTTGCCCGAGATTCGATAGTCGGTATCATCATACCTAGTTCAATCTCCTTACCGGCAAGTCTCTTTACTCGTTCCGTAATACTTCATCCCGCATCTAACTCATTAGTCACAATGCTTGCAAGGCTTATAGTGATGAGCATTATCGAGAGGGCCCAGAGATACCTCTCCGAAACACGGAGTGACAAATCCTAATCTCGATCTATGCCAACCCAACAAACACCTTCGGAGACACCTGTAGAGCATCTTTATAATCACCCATTTACGTTGTGACGTTTGATAGCACACAAGGTGTTCCTCCGGTATTCGGGAGTTGCATAATCTCATAGCCTGAGAAACGTGTATAAGTCATGAAGAAAGCAGTAGCAATGAAACTGTAACAATCATAATGCTAAGCTAACAGATGGGTCATGTCCATCACATCATTCTCCTAATGATGTGATCCCGTTCATCAAATGACAACACATGTCTATGGTTAGGAAACTTTGCCATCTTTGATTAACGAGCTAGTCAAGTAGAGGCATACTAGGGACACTATGTTTTGTGTATGTATTCACAGATGCACTAAGTTTCCGGTTAATGCAATTCTAGCATGAATAATAAACATTTATCATGAAATAAGGAAATGAATAATAACTTTATTATTGCCTCTAGGGCATATTTCCTTCAAGTTGAAGACAATTACCATCCTTTCGTGATGTGCCCACTTGCTCGCGATTTATATAGGGCACTGTCGAGGGTGTCGAGCCTCGCGAATCAGAATGAGATTCTAAATAATGGACGAGAGTGGCTGTCCCAGGTTCTTGAACCACCAGATGATGTTCGAAGCTGCATGCTGCTGATGACATTCTGAAGAGTTTGGTACGTTCGAAATGAGCTAGTCCATAACAAGCCGGTTCCTCCTGTAGAGGTGTCATGTCAATTTCTTCAGAGCTATCTTGATTCATTGATGGGTATTAAACTGCACACCGATGTTGATCCATACAGAGGGAAACCTTTCATCACTTATGCAAAGCCAAGTATGCCCAATAATGTGTCGAGGGAGGAAGCTAGGACCGGTTGGAGTCCACCAGTGCATGGCTGGGTTAAGTTAAATTCGGATGGTTCTTTTGTTGCAGTAGGGGATGTTGGAGCAGGGATGAAGAAGGCTCTTATCATTTCCGTGGCATGTAGGAAGTCGCACTTGTGCCAGGACACCCTTGAGGCAGAGTTATGTGTGTGCATGGAAGGACTCTCTGTAGCTATACAGAGAAGTGAGCTGCCGATCATCATCGAGATGGATTCTTTGGTTGCAGTTTCAATGGTCCAGAGCAAAGAAGTGGGCAGATAAGTTTATGCATCGCTAGTAAAGGAAATAAAGTTCCTTCAAGGACTTAGATTATCTTGTACTCCCTCCGTTCCTAAATATTTGTCTTTATAGACATTTCAAATGACTACTACATACGGATGTATGTAGACATATTTTAGAGTGTAGATTCACTCATTTTACTTCGTATGTAGTCATTTGTTGAAATGCCTAGAAAGACAAGTATTTAGAAACGGAGGGAGTATTACTCATGTACCTCGTACCCAGAATCTAGCTAGTGATTGTTTGGCTAGTTTTGCTAGACTAGAGAATAGGACCATGACATGGCTAGGGTCAGGTCCTCCAGAAGTTTTGGAGATTGCAAACAATGATTGTATGAACATTATTATTGAGTAATACAAGTTTGATTCCCGCATTTTTTGAAGTATTGTGAACATATTACCTCTGCATGATCTAACTGATTGATTTGAAGTCCGGGATTCAGAAATCCTATATATGCATACTGGTTTTACAAAAAACATTACGTATTGCGTGCGATGGGATAACCACATAGAGCAAAATGTGGAAATAACCATCGAACCGACGCGTAAGTTTTTTGTAAACCTATTGTGTAAGAATATCATCACACTCTAGTATTTCAGCCATTCAAGGAAAATAAAGATGAAAATAAAATCCTAAAACCTAGCGGAAGCGAATCAAATGAATTATGTTGAGGATCGCTATCAAATCATCAATGCAGCTAGTAGGGACCATTTCGGTGTCCAAAGAGAAATGGGCTCGGTAGAAGAAAATGATCGACACACATGGAGTTTCTAGCTCGTTCACATGCATTGGGATTAGCAGTAAAATCCAAAAAATAGTAAAATTATGTAAAATAATAATCTGATTTTTAATCGACAAACATTGATGATTGTTACACCTGCGTGCAAAATTGTGATGGAATGGTATTGATTGATGTCCGGGAAAGAAAAAAACAAAATCAATGCTCTAGAAAGGCTCCTTTTGAAAACATTTCGGAGTACCGACTTTTCCCCACAGATGCACAAATGTCATGAAAATTTTCATGAAGATAGAGAACTAAGCAAAGTTTCTTGCAAAAAAAAACCCAGAATTCTTTAAAAGTGCATTATTTTATTTTTTATAATTTTTACTGTTCATACAATGTGCATATGAGCTCAGGATTAGGAAAACTTTTGATATCGGTTCTTTTTTTTTTGTCGAAAAAACTTATGATCTGTTCATCAATTATCAAAGTGCACGTAGAAGTGCTCAGGGGATGCACCACAACTTCGTGGAAGATCCCGCATGTACAAGAAAGAGGATGCCAATACAGAGCACAAATTGAACTCTACTATCCTATTAATACCATCTCCACTTTGTATATACACACACGGAACAGCGACAAATAGTGGGCAGAAGATGCACAAGGCAGTACATGTACATGCCGTCGACGAGCGGTAAAGCTTGACCGTGACCGAAGCTAAGCAGACCACCAACGTCAAAAAAATTATCTCTCCCTCACACAGACAAGACGCGGTCACGGCCAGATACTTTCTACTGTACTCCAAGCGAAACGATCCTATCTGCGGGCCCACCACGGAGGGGCGCGCGCCCGGCCCCCACCCGTCCACGTCGGTCACGCGGCGATGACCACCGTGACGGCCGCGGCGTCGGCGCTCCCGGGCCGCCCGCTGCTGCGCCCGGCGGCGGCCTTGGGCGCGGCGGCCGCGCCGCTGAGCACCGAGTCCCGGCACGTGGGGCAGGAGTCGTGCGAGACGAGCCAGGTGTCGACGCAGCGGACGTGGAACTCGTGGCCGCAGCGCGGCAGCACGCGCACCTTCTCGCCGTCCTCGAACTCGCCGAGGCAGATGGCGCAGACGTCGTCCGCCGGCGCGGCGCCCCCGCCCGCGGCCGCGCACGCACCGTACACCTCGATGGGGAGGCTCCTGAGCGTGCGCTTCTTGAGCCCGCCCTGCCCGCCCGCCGACGCCGCGCCGTCCAGCTCCCCGCCGCCGCCGCCCGACGCCTCCAGCGACGCGCGCCGCGCCCACCGGATGACGTACCGCGCGAGGGAGTTGAGCCCGAGCGCGAAGAGCAGGGCGAAGAGCAGCGCGGCGAGGATGATCACCATGTTGGTGTCGAAGCTGGCGTCGCCGCCGCCGCCGCTGCTGAGCGCGCGCTGCGCCCCGTTCTCCGCGCTCGACGGCGCCTGCGAGCCCGTCTGCCCCATGTACCAGCTCATGGACCGGGTGTGCGCGCCCATCGCCTCCTTGCCGCGGCAATTATGCACCGGAAGTATGGGTCACTCGCTTGTAGAAGGACGTGGACGTAGGAGCGGCTGCTATAATGTGGCCGCGGGCCTGCGCGCGCTGCACTTTATATACCAACTCGCACCCGTTTCGGTTCGGAAAAGTTGAGGCTCATATGAGTGTGAGTGCGAGCTAGAGCGAAGGAAGGACCCCTTTCTTGTCTGGATTTCGATCGGATAGATATCACTGGGAGGAGATGGAAAATCAAGCCGTGGTGATGAGCCGGGAAATGGCCAGGGGACTTTATATAAAGATCTGGACGAGGAGGAGGAGCGGCTGCCCGATCGCCGGCTGTTGGACCGGGAGGCAGGGAGGTGGTTCGGTTCCGGGCCACACTGTGTCTGTGCGGTGGGTCCTCCAAAATGATCGCGCACGCCTTGGCCGGAGAAATATCTAGCCAGCTTTGCCGGTGCCACGCACTTGTTGGTTGTATGGTTGTGCCGGGTTGGTGCAAAACTACAAATGGGATAGCCACGCGCGTGCGCGCTGATGCAAACCTGCCTTCTTTTGTGTTGGACGATAGAATAGAGTAGCCAGCAGCTGGAAGGAGGGGCTCCATGGATTTTGTTGGATCTCACACACGGCTAAAGGGGAAGCAGGGCACGTTGCCGTAGCACGGAGGCGCGTAGGGTTGCTTTGCAGGTTCCAGTGTAAATGAACAGATTTCACTCTTTTCAAAAATTCAGCACAAAATAAAAGCCGATCTGAAACAATTTAAAAACTGACCCTTTTGCACAACGGTCTGGGCTAGGGCGTCATACTGAGATAGCATGGCCTCCTCTTGATGCTGTGATAGCTATGTGATGTGTATTGAGGGTGTCATGTTGTCTAGCATGACTCTCCAAACCAAGGCGTCGTGGTATCTACAGTGGCGCCCTAACGTCTGGCATCATAAAAAAGAGTCATTTTGTGATATATTTTTAGATCCGGTTTATATTGTGCTGAAATTTCTAAAAAGGGTCAAATATGTCCACTTTCACCAGGTTCTACGTGGAGTTTCTTTTGATTTATTAGGCTGATGCTAACCAGTATCACATTTACCTAGTTCACTTTCTCTTCTACTCCCTTCGTTCTGAATTACTTGTCGCACGTATGGATGTATTTAGATGTATTTTAGTTCTAGATACATCCATTTCAGCGACGAGTAATTTGGAACGGAGGGAGTACTACATACCACTTTTTGTTAGATAGAGAAAAAATCGGAATAGCTTGATAATTCAAAATGGTGTGTGGGCTCATCTGCACCCGGTGAACAGTAAAAAGAAATAGGAGAAAAATTTAGAAAAAAAATCCAATTTTTTTGTCATCCAAGATGCTCAAATGATTGATGTCCGTGTAGAATTTTGGGGTGTCTAGACATTCGAGGAGCTCATGGTAAAAAAGACAAATCGGCTCTGAACTGTGCTTTTTAAAATGCTTCTTAAACACCCAGAATTTATATTTTGCTGTGAGCTCCTCGAACGTCCAAAATTCATAAAATTTTGCACGGACATCATGCACAGTAGCATCTTGCATGCATGCAAAATAAATATATTTTTTATTTTATGTTTTCAAAATTCATGATTTTAGTGTTCATCGTCGGGCTCATCTGAGCCCTGGTGCAGATTAGCTATGTCCGGACTAGCTCTGCTACCTTGTGGAAATTCAGAGACATGTTTGATTCAAGTGTCTCACCCATTTTGAGGTTGTCTTGATCTATTAACAAAGACATGTAACAAACCCATTGGAGGCAATTACAACAAAATTAGTTTTACAACTTGATGTATGAGGATACTAACAATCTATCTAACTAGTTTGGTTCATATCTCCGTGGAACGCACCCACATGGATATGATTGGACTTGAAGAACTATAATGTTCTAGTGTTTTCTTATGTGTAGATGCTCCAAATTTCACCGAGGGTGTCTTGGAATCTCAGGGTGAATCCTTTGCTCTCGTCTGGCCGGACTTGACGATGCCAATGACCGTGAGGACTGCCAACTTCCTTGGAGGCATCATTGTTCAATGGCCTTTCCTCCTTTTTTTGTGTTCCTCGGAAACCATAGTTCCAGGTATTCTTGGAATGGGTGATGACGACACAACTTGTAACATGACCCTTCCTTTTCTTTTCGCGAATAAGCGAAGTGCATATCATTGCATTGATAAAAGGGAATCATAGAACAAAGTTTTGATTGCCAAGCCACATACACTCGAAGGTGTGGAAGCGAACCTATGGAGCATAGGGAGGGGAATGCTCAGCCCTAAGACTAGAAATTCAGCTTACTTACGTCAAATATCATACGTAGCCCTTTGGCACCTGCATGGGTAGAAGACCATGCCCACGCTTCGTCTTGGATGGAGGACACGAGGTCGGGGAGGGAGGGCCGCTTGTCATCGAAGATGCAGGCGTTGTGATGCTTCCATATCATCCAAGTACAGAGAGGGACGATGGATGCGAAGCCCTTGTGTAGGATGGGAGGGCAAGACATCGTTGCTCCCACCCACTAATCATAGAGAGATAGAGTCCCATCAGGTGGCAAGGTGGTGAAGCAGCACGAAGCCAAAATTTGGTGCTAGACATGTCGGGAGAATACTCTACCAACTAGGAGATGGTGGAAACACTGCCCTTCTTGAAGGCACCTTCTTGGTTTATGAGATATGTTGTTGCTTGCTATGGGGATATTGGGGTCGTAGCCCTAGATTAGTGGGCGTGGTTTCTTGTTTAGCAACGATGCCGACGTTGAGTGGACTTGGGTCACGATTGGGTTTTAGTCATTTTTTCGTACTTCCGATGGGTTCTCATGCCTTATCGCTCATTTGTGGTTAGAGCTACAGAGGGGTTGGCGCAAGCTAAACATTTTTTTCTCCTACAATGTTCGTCTCATGAGTCCAACCTGTTTGTTCATCGATATGGCTGATTCGTTGTTAGGCATGGGCCGACATGGTTCCTGACTTCTGTTGCAACGGGGGATTTGACAATGGTTGTTCATGATGAAGTTAAATCCTTTGGTTCGAGCAGGAGTGATGACGATGGCGCTGGTTGACAATATTGATGGTGATTTTTTCATCTATAAGACGTGTGTGGACTTCATGTAGGTAGTCAGGTCACTGGATGCTGTCCTATACAACCATGTTCGCTAACTAAAAGAGTAACTATGTTCTTCATTAGACAACACAAGACTTTTTGCCCTGTTTCTGTTTTACTAGAACAAAAAGAGAGCAAAGTTCACCAGAAGATATAGGCTAGTCATAGTGGGAAATGTAATTTAGACTAGTAACAAGCATTATTATTAGCCTATGTTACTACCTTCATGTGGTAGTAACATATGTATGATATCATGCAAGCCTTTATTTATTTAGATATAGACTTATTTTGCATTGGGTTGTGTTATGTTACGGTAACATATTATATTACCGCAAACACACCTCTCTTCATTAACTCTCTGTCACATAATCAAACTTGTCTTAGTGTGTGATATGTTACTATTAGTACTTCCTTCGTTTTTATTTACTCTTCATATTAGGTTTGACTGAAGTCAAACTTTGTAAAGTTTAACCAAGTTTATAGAAAAAATATAAACATTTGTCGTAAAAAATTTATATGATATGAAAGTATATTCAATAATGAATCTAGTGATATTAATTTGTTATCGTATATGTTAATATTTTTGTTTATAAACTTTGTCAAAGTTTACAAAGCTTGACTTTGAGCGAAGCTAATACACGGACTAAATAAAAACAAAGGGAGTACTAGAAAAAGTTACTCCCACTATGACCAGCCTAACTTATGAGCATGGATTTCTCATAGGCGACTATTGGATTAGATCCACTAACCAATCAACTCGTGCCTGGTCACTAAGAGCAACTCCAACGGGCCGACCCAAACAGACGGCGCATTTGTCCGCTTTATGTTCGTTTGGGTCGGCCGCCCGCCCGGCGTCCGCCCTATTTTGCATTTGGGTCGGCAGTGCGCCCAACGCGCCGACCCATTTTCATGTTTGCACTCAAATTTTTAAAAAGGCCCGCGGCCATAGATCATGCCAGCGGCCATGTCTCATATCGGCACCATGCCAGCGCCGACATAACTTGCCGGCTTCAAAAAATGCACCACACAGTTCATGCTGGCGCACTCGCCAGCGGCCGACACACATGCCAGCACACAAAAAGGGATGGGACTTGAGTTCGACCATGCCATCACGGCCCCGTGGTCATGCCAGCGCACAAGACGGCATACAAAAAAGAAGGCGCTCGTGGCCACGAGATCACTCGTCGGTGAACTTGAGCATGTTGGCCTGCATTTTCTCGAACCATGGCCTCTTCCTTGGCGACACGGTATTGAGATCCACCTTCATGATCTCCACCCCGGTCATCATGCTTGCGAGAGCCACTTCTTTGGCCTTGATCTTGGCATTGGCGGCCTCGATCTCAGGCATCTTCGCTTGCTTCTCCGCCTCCAACTCAAGCATCTTGGCTTGCTTCTCCGTGTCCATCTCTAGCCTCCTCCTTTGGATCTCCATGAGGCGTTCATTTGCTTCTCTTTGAAACACCGGTGCTCCTCCTCTCTTGAGTCCTTCTTGTTCATCATGCCCTCCACGCTTGTGATTGAGGCGTTCGATGCCGCATCGCGCTTGTCCTCCTTCTTGGAGTTGGTCTTCCTGTTGGGGAACACAGTAATTTCAAAAAAAAATCTACGATCATGCAAGATCTATCTATGTAATGCATAGCAACGAGAGGGGAGAGTGTGTCCACGTACCCTCGTAGACTAAAAGCGGAAGCATTAAGTAATGCGGTTGATATAGTCGAACATCTTCACGATCCAACCGATCAAGTACAGAACGCACGACACCTCCGCGATTTGCACACGTTCAGCTCGGTGACGTCCCTCGAACTTTAGATCCAGCTGAGGCCGAGGGAGAGTTCCGTCAGCACGACGGTGTGGTGACGGTGATGATGAAGTTACCAGCGTAGGGCTTCGC